ATCTTCAATTTGTTTTATGTGGGACAGTAGTATAGCACATCTCCCATTACTAAATGTGGAAACTGTAGTATATCACATCTCCCATTACTATATGTAGGACTGTAGTATAGCACATCTCGCATTGCTATATGTGGGACTGTATTATAAGACATCTCCCATTACTATATGTGGAGACTAGTATACCACATCTCTCACTGCTATATGTGGAGACTGTAGTATAGCACATCTCCCACTGTTATATGTGGAGACCGTAGTATATCATATCTCCAATTTGTTTTATGTGGAGACTGTGGTATATCACATCTCCCATTACTATTTGTGGGATGGTAGTATAGCACATCTCCCATTACTATATGTGGAAACTGCAGTATATCACATCTCCAATTACTATATGTGGGACTGTAGTATAGCACATCTTCAACTGCTAAATGTGGGACTCTAGTAAAACACCTCCCATTACTAAATGTGGAGACTGTAGTATATCACATCTCCCATTACTATATGTGGAGACTGTAGTATAGCACATCTCCCATTGCTACATGTGGGACTGTATTATAGCACATCTCCCCTTACTATGTGAAGATCTCTAGTTATTGTTTATAAACATCAACAAAGACAGTAATTAATATGTAAACATCAACAAAGAAAACCAACATGTAAACATCAACAAAGAACACTCAATATTAACAAAGAAAACACACATGTAAATGTCAATAAAGACAACACACATGTAAACATTAGCACAGAGAACAAATAAGTAAACATCAACAAAGATAACACACAAGTAAAGATCAACAAAGACAACAAACATGTCAACATTAAAACAAAAGACAACACGCATGTAAATAAACAGAACACATGCAAATAACACAGACATCACATATGTAAATATCAACAAAGGATGACAAACATGTAAAAAATGAACAATACACATGTAAATATAAACAAATATGTAAATATCAACAAACATGTAAAGATCAACAAAGACAACAAACATGTCAACATTAAAACAAAAGACTACACGCATGTAAATAAACAGAACACATGCAAATAACACAGACATCACATATGTAAATATCAACAAAGGATGACAAACATGTAAATAATGAACAATACACATGTAAATATAAACAAACATGTAAATATCAACAAACATGTAAACATCAACAAAGACAACAAACAAGTAAATATATATCATGACAACATTAAGAATGATCAACTACCTTGAGGCCTTGGAATCTGGGAGCGGGCCGCTTTGGCTCCACCTGAGACACCTCTACTTGCCACAGAACCTCGAGATGACCCCAGCTGCCCTCTAGTGACACCTTGCGGGGTAGTCTGAAATATAACACAGTCGCCTAAACACATGTAACCAAGCTTTCTCTGATATGAACTGAAGAGTCTGGAACTGAATTCACAATGCATTTTCCTAAAGATTTTGTATTATGTGGCTAGTTGTGCTTGTGCCTACCTGAGGTATTCCTATATTATTTCATTAGTTGTGCCTACCTAAGGTATTGCTGTATTATTTCATTAGTTGTGCCTACTTGAGGTATTCCTGTATTATTTCACTAGTTGTGCCTATTTGAAGTATTCCTGTATTATTTCACTAGTTATGCCTAATTGAAGTATTCCTGTATTACTTCTACTTGAAGTATTCCTGTATTATATCATTAGCTATGTCTACTTGAGGTATTCCTGTTTTATTTCACCAGTTATGCCTACTTGAAGTATTCCTGTATTATTTCACCAGTTATGTATTTTTTTTTAAAAGTATCCAGAAGCTATGAGTTGTTACCCTTAGGCTCGGTATTATGGGTATCGCAACCCTTCGACCTTAATTCCATGATAGATACCATAAATCTGGGTGAAATGTGGCTTTTCTGCCTACCCCCGGGCGTGAACCTGGACCATAAGAAGTTTGTAACCCTGTCACTGCGTATTCCTGTATTATGTTGATACCTGTGCCTACCTGAGGTATTCCTGTATAATGCCACTAGTTGTGTCAACCTCCTGAGGTATTCCTGTATTGTCACTAATTGTGACTACCTGAGGTATTCATGTATTGTCACTAATTGTGACTACCTGAGGTATTCCTGGAAAATGTAACTAGTTGTGCCTACCTGAGGTATTCCTGTATTATGTCACTAGTTGTACCAACCTTAGATATTCCTGAAATATGCCTAAAGGTTGTGCCTACCTGAGAGGTATTCCTGAGTGATCCTCGTCCTGGAGAACTACAACTTGATGGCAAACCCTGGACTCGACCCCTGAGTGAAACTTTAGGAGTATCTCTGCTAGCTGGGGATCGCCAAGACTGAGTGGCAATAACAGAACGTTTGACTGGGGTATTCACATTCTGGGGACAGAACATTGTTGATTTCAGTGTGCACAGAAAAACAATATCTCAGTGTGCACAGACAAACAATATCTCAGTGTGCACAGACAAACAATATCTCAGTGTGCACAGACAAACAATATCACGTGTGCACAGACAAACAATATCACAGTGTCCACAGACAAACAATATATCAGCGTGCACAGACAAACAATATCTCAGTGTACATAGACAAACAATATATAAGTGTGCACAGACAAACAATATATCAGTGTGCACAGACAAACAATATCTCAGTGTCCACAGACAAACAATATCTCAGTGTGCACAGAGAAACAATATCTTAGTGTGCACAGACAAACAATATCTCAGTGTGCACAGACAAACAATATCAGTGTCCAAAGACAAACAATATCTCAGTGCACAGATAAACAATATCACAGTGTGCACAGAAAAACAGTTTCACAGTGTCCACAGACAAACAATATCTCAGTGTGCACAGACAAACAATATCTCAGTGTCCACAGAGAAACAATATCTCAGTGTGCACAGACAAACAATATCTCAGTGTGCACAGAGAAACAATATCTCAATGTGCACAGAGAAATAATATCCCAGTGTGCACAGACAAACAATATCTCAGTCTGCACAGACAAAAAGAATCTCAGTGTGCACAGACAAAAAATATCTCAGTGTCCACAGACAAAATATATCTCAGTGTGCACAGACAGAAAATATCTTAGTGTGCACAGACAAACAATATCTCAGTGTGCAATGACAAAAAATATCTCAGTGTGCACAGACAAACAATATCTCAGTGTGCACAGATAAACAATATCTCAGTGTCCACAGACAAAAAATATCTGAGTGTGCGCAGACAAAATATATCTCAGTGTGCACAGACAAAAAATATCTCAGTGTGCACAGACAAACAATATCTCAGTGTGCACAGACAAAAAATATCTCAGTGTGCACAGACAAACAATATCTCAGTGTGCACAGACAAAAAATATCTCAGTGTGCACAGACAAACAATATCTCAGTGTGCACAGACAAACAATATCTCAGTGTGCACTGACACGTATTACCTCAGTGTGTGCAGACAAGCATTGTTTTAGTGTGCAGAGCAAGCACTATCTCAGTGTTCAAATATTATCCCAGTGTGCAAACATATCTCAATGTGCACAAACAGAAATTATAGATGTGTGCACAGACTAGCATTATCTCAGTGTGCACAGACCAGCATTACCTCAGCATGCACAGACAAGCAATAATGCACAAAAATGACATGATCTCAATGTGCTGCAATATCTCAGTATGCACTTAGAAACATTACCTTAGTGTGCAAACATTACCTCAGGGTGCAGACAAACATTATCACAGTGTGCACAGACAGACATTATATAAGTGTATACAGATGGACATTATCTCAGTGTGCACAGACAGACATTTTATAAGTGTATACAGATGGACATTATCTCAGTGTGTATAGATAATCTATATCTCAGTGTGCTACAGGCATGATCTCAGCAGGCACAGACAAGCACTATCTCAGTATGCACAGACAAGCACTATTTCAGTATGCACAGACAAGCACTATCTCAGTATGCACAGACAAGCACTATCTCAGTATGAACAGACAAGCACTATCTCAGTATGAACAGACAAGCACTATCTCAGTATGCACAGACAAGCACTATCTCAGTATGCACAGACAGGCACCATCTCAGTATGCACAGACAAGCACTATCTCAGTATGCACAGACAAGCACTATCTCAGTATGAACAGACAAGCACTATCTCAGTATGCACAGACAAGCACTATCTCAGTATGCACAGACAGGCACCATCTCAGTATGCACAGACAAGCACTATCTCAGTATGCACAGACAAGCACTATCTCAGTATGAACAGACAAGCACTATCTCAGTATGCACAGACAAGCACTATCTCAGTATGCATAGACAAGCACTATCTCAGTATGCACAGACAAGCACCATCTCAGTATGCACAGACCTAGACCAGGGGTGGGTAACTTTTTTTGTGGTTCGTGGGCCAAATTTAGAATTACCGCCGTGGTTGCAGGACATTAAAAAAAAATTTATTATAAATATAACACCCACATTTCCTCGTAACACGATACTTCTGTGGGATATTCTAGGATCATAATCCCTCGCTACACCTCTGGCCAGGCACACTAACCCACTGAAGCTCTACTATATATTCGTAAATGTGTCTGCTCAAGTTGATCATCTATAAACGAGAAGACCAGAGAAAAAGAATGCTTAGGGTCTCATACTTTATTATCAAAATCCGACGACAGGCACTGTTCCCTAATGTCTGATATTGTCAGCAACAGGTGTTTCCCCGGCAAGATCAAAGATTTGGTGACATCAGTTTCTGGTTGTTACCATACAGATTATCACTTTTTTTTTTTTTTGGGATGTTGATATGCGCATTTTTTTTCTGCATGCGAATGTATGTTTTTTATGTTCTGCAATTTTGTGAGCTCAATGGCCAGATTATATAGTAAGTTTACACCACCCTCGCGGGCCAGAATTTTTTTTTCTCTGTGGGTCTATTTTTGCCAACGGGTCACAGTTTGCCCAGCCCTGCACTAGACACAGACAACAAGACAGAAGAGAGAAAATAAGATATTCACTCTGCTGCTGGAAGTGAGGCTTCGACTGGAAGCGGTGGTGCCGGTGCTAGAACCATTGATGTGTAGCTTGTCCAACAGTCTGACCACTGTCTCCTCTAGATGATCTATGGTCGCACTGGATGGATGCTGTGCCCAGACTTCTACACGGTTCTGGAGAATGGTGTCCTTTGCCATTTCTAGTTCTGAAGTCTGAAACAGTACACACAGAGTCCTCATCAAAGTGATGCATTTGTCAAAAAGTACAAAACACATCTGTAAATTGACTACATAAAGCAAATTGTCTTCTTTTTCTTCTTCTTATTTATCCTCTTTTACCACAGCCATACAATTATTGTCGGTGCTACTTCATTACTTCAGTGAATATGTGTTTCTCAAAGGTATTTGGCGACCTCTGTGAAAGGGTCGTTCGCGCCCCCCCCCCCCCACCCCACTTAAGGGGTCATGACCAATGGGCTGAGAACCGTTGATTTACATGATGCAAACTGTCCACTCTATGTAAATTGTCAGTGTAATGATTTTACTACAGGCTAGATAAGGATGACCTAACTGTATTGAGTATATTTCGTACATATTTAGAAAACTGCAATATCAAGCAGATATTAACAGAAGAAGAAAAAAACAGGAAGACATTGACTGAGCCGGCCAAGAAACCCCACTGGATGAAAGTTTTCCATGCAAACTAGTTTCTTTTTCTTCTTCTTCTTCTTTACATTTACTCGCTGTAAACTCTGGCAAAAAGTTATGGTTGTTTGTCCCCTTCTAGACTTTAGTCTTAGTCCATAACTTGAGTTCTGCATGCCCAGCCATTTTACAGATATGGCATATATGTATGCAGACTGTTGGTTTCTTGCCACTCAGATAAATGCACTCTGACTTTGAAGGGAACATCTTAATTAGTAGACTTTTATGACAGAAAATCTAATATAGGCTTGAAAACCTGTTGCGTTGAGGATGTATTTCTGTTTCCAACTGTTATGTTTCTCTCCCTCTCTCTCACACAGTTTTTTTCTACTCACTCTCACTTTCTCACTTTTACCCACTTCACTCTCACACTCACTCACTCATACTCTCATTTTCACTCTTTCAGATACTTTCACTCACTCTCACTCACTATTTCACACTCACTAACTCACACACTTTCACTCACTCACTCACTCACTCACTCACTCACACTTTAACCCTGTTTTTCTGTGTCCCTATATCTTTCTGTCTCTAGCTCTCTCTGTATGTCTCTATTTGTGTCTCTATCTCACTCTCTTTCTGTTTCTCACTCTCTTTCTTTTATCTTCTCACTTTCTTTTTCTTTCTCTGCCTGTCTCTGTCTCTTTCTTTTTCTCTCTTTCGACTTCTCTTTCTTTCTATTTCTTCTCCATTTTTAATTTTCTATATTTTCCTCTCCTTCTCTCTCCATCTTTCTCTTTCTCTCTCTGTCCCTCTCACTCTTTCTCACTCCTTTACTTCCCTTCCTTTATCTCTCTTTCTCTGTCTATCTCTGCTTATTTATCTCTATCTCTGCTTCTTTATCTCTCTCTCTCTTTTTTTCTATTTATCTCGCATTCATTCACTTTCTTTATTTCTATCTATTTTCTTTTTCTCCACTTTCTCTCTCTACCCTTCTTTTTCAAATTCACTCTGTCCATGTCTGTCTTTCTGTTTCTTTCTCTCACACTCTCTCTTATCTCACTTCATTTAGTTGTCTCTCTGACACTTACTCAGTCACTCAGAAACTCATTCAGTCACTCACTCAATCTCTATCACAGTCTACCTCACTCGTTCGTTCTCTCGCTGTCTCTATCTCTCTTTCTTTCTCCTCTTCTTTTCCCCTTTCTCTCTCTCCATCCTTTTCTCTCTCTCCCTAACTTCTTCTCTCCCTCTTTTTCTTTCTCCCTTTTTCTTTCTCCAGTTCCCTCCCTCTTACTTTCTCCATTTCCCTCCCTCTTTCTTTCTTTTTTTTTCTTTCTATCTCTCTCTATGTGAGTGTGTGTGTGTGTCTCTCTCTCTCTGTAAGTGATTGTGTGAAGTGATATGAACAAAGACTAAATATGGTCCATTTCAGTCTGCAGTGAATAGTATACTGTCCACTGAGATAATCACCTTGAGGCCTCCAGCCTTTTCAGTGCCTGTCAGTTTGTTGAGGCAGTCAGTCAGTACACTCAGTCGCTGGTCATGACATGTAGGCTCTACCAGTCCACTGATCTCCTGGAGGGACAGAGGAATCAATGAGAAGTAAAGGAAGTGACAGACACATTAGTCATCCAGAGACAGACAGACAGACAAGTGACAGAGACAGGCAAACAGTGACATCTGAAAGTAAGTGTACCCATGTTTTACGTGAAAGGGGAGTTAGGGCCTAGGACAAAAGAATATTTAACATGGAGGAGGGGTTAGGGGTACCAGGAAAACTGACAATTTAAAATGGAAGAGTGGTTGGGGCACAGGAAAGATAACTTAACATGGAAGAGTGGTTGGGGCACAGGAAAGATAACTTAACATGGAAGAGTGGTTGGGGCACAGGAAAAATAACTTAACATGGAAGAGTGGTTGGGGCACAGGAAAAATAACTTAACATGGAAGAGTGGTTGGGGCACAGGAAAAATAACTTAACATGGAAGAGTGGTTGGGGCACAGGAAAAATAACTTAACATGGAAGAGTGGTTGGGGCACCGGAAAAATAACTTAACATGGAAGAGGGATTGGGGGCATAAGAAAACAGACAATTTCACACGGAAGAGGGGTTATGGGCACAAGAAAATAGAAAATTTCACATGGAAAAGAGGTTACGGGCACACACAAAAACAGACAATTTCACATGGAAGAGGGGTTATGGGCACAAGAAAACAAACAATTTCACATGAAAGAGAAGTTATGGGCACAATAAAACAGTTCATTTAAAAAAAGAAGAAGGGTTGGGGGCACAGGAAAACAGACAACTGAACAATAATTGTCTCTCGAGTTTCCTTTCTTTGCCTGCTGTTTCTGTCTCTTCATTCACCCAAATTGTTGTTGTCCTCTTTGCGTTTTCTGACTGAGCAGTTCCACATGTTTCCAAAGCAATTTTGATGTTGCTGTTATTGAACACAATTCAGCTTTCTTTAATGAAATGTAAATTTTGATAACAATTCTGGATTTTTCTACACAGATGATTCAGCTGTGCTGAGGTTTTAGGGTCACACAATTTCATGTGTGTTGCTTATATTTTCTTCTTGCCTCTGTTAAATGTTTTCTTACCGACATGACCGTGTACAGTCATGGTCAACTATCTCGCTATGGATTCTAGGTCCTCATTTGTTAGGGGGGGGGGAAATTGACCTTTAACAAGAATGCTGTAAAAAGGGATACTTATTAGGGATGTTTCACTCAGACTGTATGTGTCTGAGACATGGTAAACCAACAGTCTGCTTACAAATAAATCAGATGTGTAAAACAGATGTCCACTAAAAACTCAAGACCTAGAACAAGACTTAGGTCTAGTTGTGGATAAACATGAAGGACTTTATGCCAGAGTTTTGCAGCTGGAAAACACCAAGAACAGCTACCAACACAGACATGGTTGTCTCCTCGAGTCACTCTCTGGTTTTTTTTTTTTCCTTTCTATACTGGTTCTGACCTGGATGAAATCAATCTTTTATTATTTTTTTTTTGCCATCTCACTGAAACAGCCTGTAGCCCAGTGTGGTTGTTTCATTTCTGTATTTGCCTTGCACTTTTCTGGTGGCTTGGATGATGGATTTTTTTCACCTTTTTGCAGGTTTCAGCGACACCATTTATCCATCTCTTTCTTGGTCTTCCTCTCGTCTTCCTCCCAGATGTTCTGCTGTAAAAAAAAGAATCAATCTTCAGCCAGCACATTATATGACAATACCTCACATGAAAGCACATTAAAAAGATTGCACAACATGACATGACAGCATGTCAGGACTTGAGACTTCACAGCACATCACTGTATGCCACGACAACATATCTCATGACATGACAGCACATGACACTCATGACAGCACATCATGACAAGACAGCAAATCTCATGAAATGACAGCACATTGTATGCAATGACAGAACATCATGCCAATGAAATGAAATAACAGCATATCAGACATGACAGCAAAAATATTGACAGACAACACACCATAACACAGCATACTAAGCTAATAATCACTGCATCATGGTAATGGTACGCCACAGTACACTAAACGGAGAATCTCCTATCAGTCAAAACACAAGTGTTTTATCTCATAATCAAAAACAGTAGACAACCACTGACTCGCTCACCTCTGCTGTGCTGACACTTTTCACAACATCAGCCAAATTAACCATTGGTTCTATTGCCTGTTTAGACACTGTCATGCTCTCCTTCATTTGGCTTATTTGCTCCTGCAGTTGGTGAATAGTGTGGTCTCGTTTTAACAGTTCCCTCTAGATAAAAACAGAACATCAACAGCTCATTCTTAATAGCTGTACAATATCTGATACAGTGTTACTGGATAACATACCAGTCAGTATTGGTGTGGCGGTAGTAATGATGTGACAGTCAATAATGATGTGAGTCAGTAATGAGTCAGCAATCATGTGGGAGTAAGTAATTATGTGGGAGTAAGTAATCATGTGTCAGTCAGTAATCGTGTGTCAGTCAGTAATGATGTCGCAGTCGGTAATGATGTGGCTGAACATCATTAGTAATCATGTAATCAGTAATCATGTGACTGTCGGTAATGAATCAGCAATAATGTGGGAGTCAATAATAAAGTGGGAGTCAGTAATGATGTGACAGTCAGCAATGATGTGACAGTCAGCAATGATGTGGGAGTCAGCAATGATGTGACAGTCAGCAATGATGTGGGAGTCAGCAATGATGTGGGAGTCAGCAATGATGTGGGAGTCAGCAATGATGTGGGAGTCAGCAATGATGTGGGAGTCAGCAATGATGTGAGTCAGTAATGAGTCAGTAACCGTGTGTCAGTCAGTAATTGTGTGTCAGTCAGTAATTGTGTGTCAGTCAGTAATTGTGTGTCAGTCAGTAACCGTGTGTCAGTCAGTAATTGTGTGTCAGTCAGTAACCGTGTGTCAGTCAGTAATTGTGTGTCAGTCAGTAATGATGTGTCAGTCAGTAATGATGTGGCAGTCAGTAATGAGTTATTAATTATGTGGGAGTCAGTAACCGTGTGTCAGTCAGTAACTGTATGTCAGTCAGTAATTGTGTGTCAGTCAGTAATGATGTGGCAGTCAGTAATGAGTCAGTAATTATGTGGGAGTCAGTAACCGTGTGTCAGTCAGTAATGATGTGGCAGTCAGTAATGAGTCAGTAATTATGTGGGAGTCAGTAACTGTATGTCAGTCAGTAATGATGTGGCAGTCAGTAATGAGTCAGTAATTATGTGGGAGTCAGTAACCGTGTGTCAGTCAGTAATTGTGTGTCAGTCAGTAACCGTGTGTCAGTCAGTAATTGTGTGTCAGTCAGTAATGGTGTGTCAGTCAGTAATTGTGTGTCAGTCAGTAATGGTGTGTCAGTCAGTAATTGTGTGTCAGTCAGTAATGGTGTGTCAGTCAGTAATGATGTGGTAGTCAGTAATGAGTCAGTAATTATGTGGGAGTCAGTAGCCGTGTGTCAGTCAGTAACCGTGTGTCAGTCAGTAATTGTGTGTCAGTCAGTAATGGTGTGTCAGTCAGTAATGATGTGGCAGTCAGTAATGAGTCAGTAATTATGTGGGAGTCAGTAACCGTATGTCAGTCAGTAATGATGTGGCAGTCAGTAATGAGTCAGTAATTATGTGGCAGTCAGTAACCGTGTGTCAGTCAGTAATTGTGTGTCAGTCAGTAACCGTGTGTCAGTCAGTAATTGTGTGTCAGTCAGTAATGGTGTGTCAGTCAGTAATGGTGTGTCAGTCAGTAATGGTGTGTCAGTAAGTAATTTTGTGTCAGTCAGTAATGGTGTGTCAGTCAGTAATGATGTGGCAGTCAGTAATTGTGTGTCAGTCAGTAATGGTGTGTCAGTTAGTAATTTTGTGTCAGTCAGTAATGGTGTGTCAGTCAGTAATGATGTGGCAGTCAGTAATGAGTCAGTAATTATGTGGCAGTCAGTAACCGTGTGTCAGTCAGTAATGATGTGGCAGTCAGTAACCGTGTGTCAGTCAGTAATGGTGTGTCAGTCAGTAATGGTGTGTCAGTCAGTAATTGTGTGTCAGTCAGTAATGGTGTGTCAGTAAGTAATTTTGTGTCAGTCAGTAATGGTGTGTCAGTCAGTAATGATGTGGCAGTCAGTAATGAGTCAGTAATTATGTGGGAGTCAGTAGCCGTGTGTCAGTCAGTAACCGTGTGTCAGTCAGTAATTGTGTGTCAGTCAGTAAACATGTGTCAGTCAGTAATTGTGTGTCAGTTAGTAATGGTGTCTCAGCCAGTAATGATGTGGCAGTCAGTAATCATGTGGCAGTTGGTAATGATGTGGCAGTCAGTAATCATGTGTCAGTTGGTAATGGTGTGGCAGTCAGTAATGATGTGGCAATCAGTAATGATGTGGCAGTTGGTAATGATGTGGCAGTCAGTAATCATGTGGCAATGGGTATTCATGTGACAGTTAGTATTCATGTGACAATCAGTAAAAATGTGGCAGTAAATAATGATGTGGCAGTCAATAATGAGGTGGCAGTCAGTATTGATGTAGCAGTCATTAATGAGTCAGTAATGATGTGGGAGTCAATAATGATGTGACTGGTAATAAACCCAGCACTTGCCTTTAGATCACCAGCTACACGATCCTTGTCCTCCACCTGCTTGCCACAACTTGTCTGTAGGGAGACATCAGATGAGGAGATAAGGTAGAGATGACACAGAGAATCAATCACGAGACAGGAAGATTTAAGTCAGGGAGATATGGGATACGAAGATATAGAAATGACACAGATACATCAGATTTGAATCAATCATGAGATAAGGGTTCACATATTTATACACCAGTTCCAATAGCTTTATTATAAAAGCCTGAAAGAAGCATCAACGAGTATTGCAGAATTAAATAAAGCAGTCATCTGGATTCAATCATGCATGGGTTAGTCACAAAAAGTCACTGTAGCATTCAGGCAAGTCTCCTCCCACTGCTCATGGAGGCAGTAAATGCCGTACGCAAAAAAAGGTTGCTCACTGAATCAAGGATTTACCGGATTAAATATGTGGTACCTACTGTGAACACGCCTTCCAATATTGCAGTTTCTTACAAACTAAGTTCAGAACTGTCCCAAGTGACACAGAGAATTTGTATGCCAGTGAATGTATTCTATGACAACGGTTCACCTGCACTGCTGCATCAATTATGCCAATAGTTTTTTTTTTTTCTGTTGCAATATTGGGAACTTAACCCAGCTGTGGAAGATCTATCATGAACTCAAGTGCTTTCCAAAACATTTTTACCCAGTCCTTCACGGTTGTCTTCAAAAGTGCTGCGCATACTACTTGCATTCTGTCAATGTCCGCAGGTTGGCAACCTTCATATGAAAGAAATCTTCAATCACTGCCCCTTGAAGCTTTTTTGGACAGATTCTGATTCAACCTGGACATTTCTTCAGCGGTCAGAAGCAAAATCTATACATCATGAGGTGCTCTTTTATTCACTGACCAGTACTTTTCACATGATGACATAAAATAATGTTCGACGCAAGCAATCGCACGTGGTATGGCACAAATGGGTTTCAAATGAGGCATTTAGGCAAGCATTTCATTGCTTAAGTAGGTGATAATTCCTTTTGCAAAAAAAAAAAAATTTAGATTGTGGCTGCTCACTGAACCAACACGTTTAGTATGTGCTACGCACTGTGAACATACCTTTTGATATTGCAGTTTCTTGCAAAAACCTTCTAAACTGTCCCACGTGACACATAAAATTTGACTGTAAGTCCTATAAGAGGTATCAAATGACTCAACAGCATGATGATGATGAAAAATCAAGCAACAGCACTAACCTTGATATCAGACAAGACCTGGTCTCTACCTCCCAGCTGTTTCTGTAATGTCTCCTATAGAAAAAAAAAACACAGGCAAGCCATATCAAATGTTTCCAACATGTTAGTTAGTTAGAATTTTCTCTTGAGCCTAGAGCCGCACATAGAGCAGAGATCATAGCTCTCCATGTCTGGCGGTCCGTTGCCACCTGTTGCAAGTCTTGGGTGTTTTTTAGGCAAATGATTGAGTCTTCTATGATGATGGTTCTACGCAGGGTCTCTCCTGGTCTCTCCCCCCCCTCCCCGCCCCTTTCTTTTCCCTTTGGGTGTCCATTTGAGGGCTTGATGTACCTCAAGACGGATTCAACTAAGTTTATTCAGGGGCCAAAATGTTGAATATGATGATTGTCATGGGCCAGAAGCACGATTCTCAGTTTAAAGAGATCACTGATACCAAAGTTCAGTGTAGAAAGATCACTTATACCAAAGTTCAGTGTAGAAAGATCACTAATAATGAAGTTCAGTGTAGAAAGATCCCTAATACTGAAGTTCAGTGTAGAAAGATCACTAATACTGAAGTTCAGTGCAGAAAGATCACTAATACTAAAGTTCAGTGTAGAAAGATCACTAATACTGAAGTTCAGTGTAGAAAGATCACTAATACTGAAGTTAAGTGTAGAAAGATCACTAATACTGAAGTTAAGTGTAGAATGATCATTATTACAACACAACCTGCAATGATCTGTGAGCCACCTGCTAGGCCTATGTAGGCTAGATTTAGCCTGCAGGCTGCTAGTTCAGAAGCCCAATTGTACATGTTGCTATCAATGGCTTGGAGGTTATGAACAGTTTTAGAATTATGACATACTGAGATTACAGTAAGAGATAGTAATATCAGACCATGTTGTGGATCACTGTGACAATGGTATGAGTGTCAAAGTGGCTAGAAAGCAATGGCAAACTACCAACTGGAAAACAGCCTACAAAACCTCACAATGGTTAACAAATGCTGTGGTTGGTTTGCAATGTCAGGAAATGGGTATGCAACAAACTACAATATGTAACTTCTGACTAGGAGCACAGAGACAAATCTTGACAATACTGAACCTTCTGCTTCGCTGCATGGGTTGCAGAGCTTCACCAAAAGGCAACTGATTTGGGGTGTTACCTTACATCTGCCTGAGAGGCGAAGAACTAACAGTCTGCATACAAATAAGCCAGATTAGTAAAATGTGTATGCAAAACACTTTTATGGAACAAGACTTAAAAGTCTAGAAGTGTACAAACAACTAGAACTTTCCACTGGAGTTTAAAGCCAGCCAACAGTAAGAAGAAATATCTTCTGCTGATACTAATTTGTGGATCATTTACTGAAACTGTGCAATACTAAATATTGGAGCAAACAGTAAATATAATCGGATTAAAATATAGTAAGATGAGAATGTAACAAGATCATATAGGTTGAGTCGGAGAGATAGACAGATCTAGAAAAATTTTGAAATTTGGCAATCCTAATAGTCAGTCCCTTGCAGACAGTAATTTAAAAATTAAACCTAGCCTTGGTTCTAACACAGAAAATCTATCTGTTGTCATACCATAGGAACTGAACCTATCTGTTGAACTATATGTGCTTCTAACCTAGAAAGTGAGTGAACCCATCTGTGGCTCTAACCTAGGAATTGAGCCTATCTGTGGTGTTAATCTAGGAACTGACCTATCTGTGGTTTTAAATAAGGAACTGAACCTAACTGTGGTTCTAAATAAGGAATTTAACCTATAGGTGGTGAACCTATCAGTGGTTTTAATCTAGGAATTTAACTTATGTGTGGTTCTATCTTAGGAATTGAAACTATGTGTGGTTTTAACCAAGATATTGAACCTACATGTAGTTTTCACCTAGGAATTGAACCTACTTGATGTTCTAAAACAAGGAATTTAACGTATCCGTGGTCCTAACCTAGAAATTGAGCCTATCTGTGGTTTTAATCTAGAAATTTAAGCTATGTGTGGTTTTATCTTAGGAATTGAACCTATATGTGGTTTAAACCTAGGAAGTGAACCTATATGTGGTTTTTACCTAGGAACTGAACCAACTTGTAGTTCTAAAACAAAGAATTTAACCTATCTGTGGTTCTAACCTAGGAACTGAACCTACATATAGTTATAACCTAGGTAGTGAACTTATCTGGTTTTAATCTAGAATTGAACTTACACGTGGTTCTAACTTAGAAAGTGAACTGATCTTCTGACAAAGCTATCAAAACACAAGTGCACTTACAATTTCTGATCTCATTTTGTCCTTTTCCAGTTCCAAAGTCATGACTTCAGACTTAAGTCCAGAAAGTGTGCTTTCTTGCTCCTTCAGTCGTTGCTGCAAACCAGCCTGGCAATTGTGTGTATATTATGTATATATTTAATATACATATATATACACATACATTCATTATATATATATATATAAATGAATTGAACCTACAAGTGGTTCTACTCTTGGAACTGAACTTCTTTCTGGTTCTAACCTAGAAAACATGTACTGGTATGTTAAACATCTGACAGTGTAAGCATAACTGATATGTGAAACAAACATGTGATACATGTAAACATGACTGATATATTAAACTTGTCACAGTAAGCCCAGTGCACCACAGAAGTGAAAAGACTCCTTTACATTTATCACAATGTGTACACCCCACTAGATGTTTAGGCACTCATTCCTCTCCTCTCTATATGGCTTCTGAAGCCCCAGTGGAGTCGGGGTGGAGGAAGAAGAAATCAATAGTTCCCTGACAAGCAAGTATGTCACAACAAGCAAACTAATTAGCAGTTAGCTGAAATCTCATTTGTTCAACTAAATGACACAGATACTGCAGAACACATCATTGGACTGAAAGAAACAAGACAACAAGTTGTGAATGTCAAGTCTATCAATTCAACGTGGCACTGATTATAAGAAAAAGAAAGCAAAACAGCAGTAAATGACAAAATAATGTCTCAACTGCCCATTTAAAGCGAATGTAGGAAAAGAATAAAATTCCCCTACATCTGGATGAAGCTGATTACGAGGCGGATACTGTTCAAACATATACACACACACACATTCACGAAAATACACACACACATACTAAAAAATAAACACACACACAACAAAGAAACCTTTGTGCCCTGCAACTCCATGCAATTCTTTTTAGCTTTGATGAGATCAGCTCTGAGAGATTCAGTTACCTCTTCAGCTTGCAGTAGTCTGCCCTTGAGTATGATCTACAAACATGAACATGGGTGTGTAAATGAATGTTAAACATAAACATGGGTGTGTGAATGAATGTCAAACATGAACATGGGTGTGTAAATGAATGTTAAACATAAACATGGGTGTGTGAATGAATGTCAAACATGAACATGGGTGTGAGAATGAATGTCAAACATGAACATGGGTTTGTGAATCAATGTCAAACATGAACATGGGTGTGTGAATCAATGTCAAACATAAACATGGGTGTGTGAATGAATGTCAAACATGAACATGGGTGTGTGAATCAATATCAAACATAAACATGGGTGTGTGAATCACTGTCAAACATGAACACCAGTGTGTGAATGAATGTCAAACATGAACATGGGTGTGTGAATGAACGTCAAACATGAACATGGGTGTGTGAATGAATGTCAAACGTGAACATGGGTGTGTGAATGAGTGTCAAACATGAACATGGGTGTGTGAATGAGTGTCAAACATGAACATGGGTGTGTGAATGAATGTCAAACACGAACATGAGTGTGTGAATGAGTGTTAAATGTGAACATGTTTGTGTGAATCAATGTCAAACATGAACATGGATGTGTGAATCAATGTCAAACATGAACATGGGTGTGTGAATCAATGTCAAACATGAACATGGGTGTGTGAACGAATGTCAAACATGAACATGGGTGTGTGAACGAATGTCAAACATAAACATGGGTGTGTGAATAAATGTCAAACATGAACATGGGTGTGTGAATGAATGTCAAACATGAACATGGGTGTGTGAATCAATGTCAAACATGAACATGAGTGTGTGAATCAATGTCAAACATAAACTGACCATGATGTCCTACAAGCTATCTTATACCATGAATAGACAATGTTCCACACTCCATCTCACATGATGAACAGAAATGTCACACACTCTATCTCACACAATGAACAATACACCACTCTACCTCACACCATGAACAGACTATGATGTTCCATTCTCTATCACATAGCACGAACTGACCACAATGACCCACTCTCTAGCTCACACCATGAACATACAATGTTCTACATTCTACCTCACACCATGAACAGATTATGATGTTCCATTCTCTATCACATAGCACGAACTGACCAAAATGACCCACTCTCTACCTCACACCATGAACATACAATGTTCCACATTCTACCTCACACCATGAACAGACTATGATGTTCCATTCTCTATCACATAGCACGAACTGACCACAATGACCCACTCTCTATCTCACACCATGAACATACAATGTTCTACATTCTACCTCACACCATGAACAGATTATGATGTTCCATTCTCTATCACACAGCACGAACTGACCACAATGACCCACTCTCTATCTCACACCATGAACATACAATGTTCCACATTCTACCTCACACCATGAACAGACTATGATGTTCCATTCTCTATCACATAGCACGAACTGACCACAATGACCCACTCTCTATCTCACACCATGAACATACAATGTTCTACATTCTACCTCACACCATGAACAGATTATGATGTTCCATTCTCTATCACACAGCACGAACTGACCACAATGACCCACTCTCTATCTCACACCATGAACATACAATGTTCCACATTCTACCTCACACCATGAACAGATTATGTTGTTCCATTCTCTATCACATAGCACGAACTGACCCCAATGACCCACTCTCTACCTCACACCATGAACATACAATGTTCCACATTCTACCTCACACCATGAACAGATTATGTTGTTCCATTCTCTCTATCACATAGCGCGAACTGACCAAAATGACCCACTCTCTATCTCACACCATGAACATACAATGTTCTACATTCTACCTCACACCATGAACAGACTATGATGTTCCATTCTCTATCACATAGCACAAACTGACCACAATGACCCACTCTCTATCTCACACCATGAACAGATTATGTTGTTCCCTTCTCTATCACATAGCACAAACTGACCACAATGACCCACTCTCTATCTCACACCATCAACATACAATGTTCCACATTCTACCTCACACCATGAACAGATTATGATGTTTCATTCTCTATCACATAGCACGAACTGACCACAATGACCCACACTCTACCTCACACTATGAACAGACAATGTCACACACTCTACCTAACACCATTAACTGACTATGATGTTCCACTCCCGATCACACATGAATTGATCATGATGTATGAATGTATGAATGAATCAAGAATTGACGTCACTGTACACAGGAAATTCCCATACGCGCTTCATCCCATTCTTTAGTAGCCAATAAAGAGTTCTCATACTGATGATGACAGTGGCAACCTGATTACAAAACTTCGCTAAGATTTTCTCATGCAGATAGAAAACTGAGCTCACTCCCAGCTGAATCATTTTGGCCAAGGAGGGGTGGCAACAGCTAATCTATCAGCTCGCTCATTTCCACACACACTAAAATATCCTAGATTTAAAAAAAAAATCAAGAAAGTGCATTTTATATGAGTCTAACAAATGACACAAGCAACTCTGATAGGAAAATACCAGTTTCTACTTTCCTAAGTGTGCTCTGCGTGTCAGTTATAATTACAACATGTTGAGCTGGTACTACTCTCCAGTCTTTGGAAAGCTGCCACTAATGCTTCTGCCTCTATTCTTATGCTAGGACTTCCATCTACTTTTTTTTTATTTTGCTTCTCATAAGACATTCATCTGTGCAAATAAAATGATATCAACTGGACCTGAATTTTTATTGATAAATTTTTACATCTTATTGAGGAAAGAACTTGGCCGAACGGTTAGAATGCTGAGCTCTCAAGCAGGAGACCGTGGTTTGAATTCTTGTAAGGTTCAGAATGTTGTTTCTGCTGGGGGGCAAAAACAAAATTCTAGCCTGCACAGTTTGTGGTGACAGCACTGTCTATGCAGTCCTAAATCCTAAGGCTTAAATACACCTCTGCCTACCCAACACAAGTGGTAAATACAGAGAGTATCCATTCCCAACACACTCATCCAAAGCAACTATCAATCTAAGCTGGGCTGCTTTGCTGGACAGCAATGTCATTCACTACTCATTATGCACAATCTTGTGAACTGCACACACAACAATGATATGCAACAACTCACTATAGTTTCTTTTGAGTTGGTTCCTTCTAAATCACCTCTTGACAGTGATTTGGCATCACCAGAAGAGTCTCCAGTTAATAACTGTAACAAGATGAAACACTAACAGATATCGCATGGTCAATAACTATAACCAGATGAAACACTATAGATATCACATGGTTAACAACTATAACCAGATGAAACACTGACAGATATCATATGGTCAGTAACTATAACCCAAAGAATCAATGACAGACATCACACTGTCAATAAGTATAATCATATGAATCAAAGACATATTTCACATGAAGTCTCAAATGTTCCCCTACAATTTAGGATATCACACCAGTTGTACATGAAATATGATTTTTGAAGACAGGAGACATACAAAGTACACAATACTGAAATAAGTTACAGACATACAAAGTACAAAATACTGAAATAAGATACAGACATACAAAGTACAAAATACTGAAATAAGATACAGACATACAAAGTACAAAATACTGAAATAAGATACAGAATATTAAAACAAGACAAAAAATACTGAAACAAGACAAACAAACAATGAAACCAGACATACAGCATTTAAACAAGACATACAACATTAAAACAAGACAAGTTACATTGAAATAAGGCATATAATACTAAAACAAAACACACAACATTGAAACAAGACATACAAGACTAAAATAAGACATTCTACCCTGAAAATGCCATACAACATAAAAACAAGACATCCAACATTAAAACAAGACATACAAATTTAAAGCAAAATATATAACACCGAATTGAGGCATAATCTCAAACAAGATGTACAACACTGAAAATATACTCTAACCTGAAAAAATAAAGATATACAACATTAAAACAAGACAAGTTACATTAAAACAAGCCATAAAATGCTAAAATAAAACATACAACATTAAAACAAGACAAGTTACATTGAAACAAGCCATAAAATGCTAAAATAAAACATACAACATTAAAACAAGACAAGTTACATTGAAACAAGCCATAAAATGCTAAAATAAAACATACAACATTAAAACAAGACAAGTTACATTGAAACAAGCCATAAAATGCTAAAATAAAACATACAACATTGAAACAAGACATACAAGACTAAAATAAGATATTCTACCTTGAAAATGCCATACAACATAACAAGACACCTAATATTAAAACAAAACATACAATATTAAAACAAGATGCATAACACTGAAAGAGAACATACAACACTGAAACAAGACACTCTACATACCAATTCATGGAGCTGAAACAGCATCTCATGAGTCTCCTTCAGACAATCACAGATTTCAGAATATCCAGAGTCGCCCATGGCGCTGTCACTCTCGCAGGAAGTCACCATGATGCCTCCTGTCAGCAGAGGGGGAAAATGTTTATACAGCCACACAATAACTAACAAAAATGTTACTACAGTCATTGTGTGTTAACAAAGGGTTGTGAATGTGAAGGACTAGCAATAGCTGCTATCTCCACTATAGTTTCCCTACATACAGTGCTTTATACTCTGTTAAAAGCCCATGGGTGTAAAAGCCTGTGGGTGTGGTCAAAGCCCCTGGGTGTGGTCACAGCTTCTGGGTGTGGTCACAGCCCATGGGTGTAGTCACAGCCCTTGTATAAGTCAAAGCCCCTGGATGTAGTCACAGCCCCTGGGTGTTGTCCCAGCCCCTGGGTGTTGTCACACCCCCTGGGTGTTGTCCCAGCCCCTGGGTGTTGTCCCAGCCCCTAGGTGTTGTCCCAGCCCCTGGGTGTTGTCACACCCCTGGGTGTTGTCCCAGTCCCTAGTGCTCTAAAGGGGAACAACAAACAGTTACACAACTCATTCATAGCTACATTTTCTGCGGGAGGAGAAAGCTAAACAGTTACACAGTTAGCTATATAATTCTACAAGAGAAACACAAAAAAAGTCACACAGCTGATTCACAGCTATAATACGTTCTATGGGGGAACAAACAACCGATCGATTGCTAATACAACATCTGACAATAAAGTTATAAGACTAATTCCATAAAAATTAAAATAATCAACAGCTGTAGATATAACCTGTATTTTATTCAAAGTAAGCCTCTTGCACATTGATACAGCGAATGGCACGATCGACCACTGTAGTTCTTCTATCGTTATAGCCCTTAAAGTTGATGTTATGGCCCTCTGGATGCCATCAATATAGTCAAAGAAGCGTCCTTTCAACTTTAATTTTGGGAATAAAAAATAGTCACAGGAAGACAAACCTGGGGAGAAGGGTGGATGGCTGAGAACATGCATCGGTTTTTGGGCCAAAAATTCCTGTACAACCACTGCTCTCTGAGCTCGTGCATTGTCATGAAGAAGGAAACAAATTGCCAGGTGTTGAATAGAAACTAACTAGCAAATTTTTTCTAGCCCAAATCTTCCACTAAAATTGTATTAACACCAAATTCATCTACCATCATCATCATAGTCGAACAACGATCTTTTTTGTATCCGTTCTCGGAATTTTGCAATGAGTTCCTCATTACGAACAGAAACTGGGCGTCTAGGTCTATTTATTAGTAATCATTTCCACACCACTTCTGAATCGTTAAATACCAGCTAAAAATCTGTGCACAAGACAAACAATTATCCCCATAAACTTGTCACATCAATTCAACTGTCACAAAGGTGCTTCCTCGGCTTAAATATGTTGTAAAGGGGAACAACAAACAGTTACACAACTTACTGATGTCTATATGTTATATGGGGGAACAGCAAACAGTTACAGAAATGACTGATGGCTATATGTTAAGTGGGGGAACAGCAAACAGTTACAGAAATGACTGATGGCTATATGTTATGTGGGGGAACAGCAAACAGTTACACAATTGACTGATGGCTATATGTTCTATGGGATGAACAACAAACAGTTAAACAACTGAATGATGGCTATATGTTCTATGGGGGGAACAACTGACATTTACAAAACTTTCTGATGGCTAGATGTTCTACGGGGTAACAACAGACAGTTACACAACTGACTGATGGCAATACATTCTACTGGGGAACAACAAACAGTTACATAACTGACTGATGGCAATACGTTCTACGGGGGAACAACAGACAGTTACACAACAGACTGATGGCTGTAATACGTTCTATGATAAAGACTAAGACCATGACCTGACACTGACCTCCTCTGTGCATGGCCCCAGACACTGACAGCAAGCCTTCCATAGAAGACGGTGGATCACTGAGGTATAAGCTGGCCCGGGGACTGGCATTCTGACTAGAAACCGGACTACTGTTGTCACTAGCTCTGTCTTCATCTATTTTGTCATTCACATCTGTCTGACGCCCTCTGTGGTCCCGGCGTTCCTCAGTGATTATCTTTCTCTCTGACTGCTTTGTCATATCCTCTTTTGGCCTGATGAAGTCAGAAGACAAACTATACAAGGTCAGAGAAGAGTGGCAGGTGAGAGGTTTATGTACAGAGACAAACTAAACAAAAAACATCAGGGTTATCTATTTTGCCACAAGAAGCTGTAAACCCAACACTTCCGGCCAGTTCCAGACTATCCTGAGTGTTGCTTTACTGACACTGCTATTATGGACTGTTCACAAGACACTGCTATAATGGATTGTTCACAAGACACTGCTATAATGGATTGTTCACAAGACACTGCTACAATGGATTGTTCACAAGAAGCTGTAAACCCAACACTTCTGGCCTGTGCCACGCTATCCTGAGTGTTGCTTTATTGACACTGCTATAATGGATTGTTCACTAGAAGCTGTAAACCCAACACTTCCAGGCTGTGCCATGCTATCCTGAGTGTTGCTTTATTGACACTGCTATAATGGATTGTTCACAAGACACTGCTATAATGGATTGTTCACAAGACACTGCTATAATGGATTGTTCCCTAGAAGCTTTAAACCCAACACTTTCGGCCTGTGCCATGCTATCCTGAGTGTTGCTTTATTGTCACTGCTATAATGGATTGTTCACAAGAAGCTGTAAACCCAACACTTTCGGCCTGTGCCATGCTATCCTGAGTGTTGCTTTATTGACACTGCTATAATGGACTGTTCACAAGAAGCTGTAAACCCAACACTTCCGGCCTGTGCCATGCTATCCTGAGTGTTGCTTTATTGACACTGCTATAATGGACTGTTCACAAGAAGCTGTAAACCCAACACTTCCAGCCTGTGCCATGCTATCCTGAGTGTTGCTTTATTGACACTGCTATAATGGACTGTTCACAAGAAGCTGTAAACCCAACACCTCTGGCCTGTGCCATGCTATCCTGAGTGTTGGTTTATTTACACTGCTATAATGGACTGTTTACTAGAAGCTGTAAACCCAACACTTTCGGCCTGTGCCATGCTATCCTGAGTGTTGCTTTATTGACACTGCTATAATGGACTGATCACTAAAAGCTGTAAACCCAACACTTCCGGCCTGTGCCATGCTATCCTGAGTGTTGGTTTATTTACACTGCTATAATGGACTGTTTACTAGAAGCTTTAAACCCAACATTTCCGGCCTGTGCCATGCTATCCTGAGTGTTGCTTTATTGACACTGCTATAATGGACTGTTCACAAGAAGTTTAGCTAACAGCATTGGGATCAGTTGTATTTACACAAACATTTAGGATGATCGGAAATGATAATATTTGTTAAGTTTAAGTTTATTTTTCTTTAAAAAAAATTATTTTAAATAAAAACTGTAATGTCCTAATTTCCCATTAGTCAGTGTTGAGGCAACCAGGTCACAGACTCAAGACAGGCTCACAGTATCTACTTATTTAGGTTCAAAGAGATGTAACCATGCTAATTCTCTTCTATACATTCATGTTTACTGATTACTCCCCTTATTCTGTATGAAATGTGAAACGGTTTCAATTTGTTTGTGACCTGTGTAAAATGGTTTGTTTTATAAGCAGGGGGTGTTGCCCAAATACAGGTCACTGGCTTTTGTTTCTTCTAGGTCACTAGGGTGAAAGGGTTAAATGTTCTATTTAGAACCCTCTGGAGAAATGGCAGGATCATATACAGGTAGGTATCAATAACATGGTGATGATAACACTGGTGAAAATGTAGGTGTTCATTTTGATGTAGATTTGGTAGCAGTGTAGATGATGATAATGGTGATGATGTCAGTGATCATGATACTAGTGATTCAAACGATGCTGACTGCCACTGTTAATGATTATGCTGATGATGATGATGATCAAGCCCGGACTGACCATTAAATAGGAATGACGATGATGGCGATAATGATGATGATAATGATGGTGGTTATGGTGACAACTCTAATACTAATGATGACATGATAATGATAATACAGGTGTGTTGAAATAAACTGGTGTGGGGATAATAACGCTGGTGGTAGAGGAAAAGAATTACTGCACAGTGATGACGATGATAGTGAGGTTATTCTGTGAGACAGTAATGTGGGATGTACAGATGAAACAGGTGAAGCGCTGCAAGGCAGGTGTCATACCTCCTCCTTCGGTACCTGTGACCAGCACGAGTTGCATTCCTTCTGGCTTCAGTGAGGGCAGCTGCAGCACCCTGTACCAACAGTAGAGATAAAACAACAAGTGACTAAATATAGCAGCTATGCTGTAAACATGGCATTTGCATCACTAGAACGGACGATGAGGAAGAATACAAAAAGTTTAAAACTGTTACACAAAACAAAACAGTCAACAGATCAGTTACTACATGAAACGAGTCACCCTGGCAGAGCTCCCTGGCAGAGACAGAATTTTTTCAAAAATTACATTGGCTCCCAGGTCAACCCAGCCTGGAGTGGGTACCAGGTGCAGTTCTGGGAAGTAAAGGCAGCCGGAGTGATACTGACCACATCAACCATCTTGTGCCGATGGGTCTATAAAATATAGGTCTAGCTCTATTTGCCCTATACACCTAAAGGCACGGAAAAAGGTCCTTTACTTTACTTTACTTTACTTACTTACTACAGTAGCACCTCGCTTAACAAGCACCTCTCATAACGAGTAATTCGCATAACGAGCAAAACAAATTGTAAAAGAATGATTTGCTTAACAAGCGTCTGTTCGCATAACGAGTGGCGAGGAAAGGGGAAGTCCCCGATTGTGCGCATTTTACATCAGTCTGTGTTTAGCGCCCGTTCCAGTAGCATCGTAGTGTCGCTTTTGATCACACATTTTCTCAAACTTGTGTTATGCTGTGATATATGTACATGAATCCTCCAGGCCAACAAGATGACCTCTCTGAAGAATTTAAGCTCATCAAGATCCAGTTTCTGCCTCCCAACACCACACCGTTTCTCCAGCCCATGGACCAGCAAGTTATTTCTAACTTTAAGAAGCTTTACACTAAGGCACTCTTCGAGCATTGTTTTCAGGTGACTGAAGGGACCAACCTTACTCTCAAAGAGTTTTGGAAAAATCACTTCCACATTTTTTAAGGGATTCGAGACAGTACCTGTGGAACCTGTAGTCACCGAGATTTTGTCTTTGGCCACTATCATGGGATTCTAGGTGGATAACAGTGATATCGAAGAGCTTGTGGAAGAGCACAGCAAAGAGCTGACCACCGAAGAGCTTATGGAGTTGCATTGTGTTTCACAGCAAGAAGTTTGGAAGGAAAGTTTGTCAGAGGAGGAGGGGGTAACAGAAAAGCAACAATCTTCTGGCGAAATAATAGGAATGCTGAAAGCATGGGAAACTGTTGCATCTCACATTGAGAAGCATCACCCTAATAAGGAAGTGGCTATGCGAGCTGCAAATTCATTTAGTGATAATGATGTGTGGCAATTTTGAAGCGTCTGCAAAAACAAATATCTCTGGACATCTTTGTAGAAACAACAAAAATTTAGCTATCTATATATTTTTAAATCAATGTTTGTGTGTTTGTTTATGAGCTATAGACTCAGAAACTACTGAACCGATTTAGCTGACATTTTCAGGATATGTTTGTTTTGATACCGGATGTTCACCAATCATGGTTTGAAATTCAACCTGTCATTGTTAGAGATAGTTTGCGACAATTTAAGCAAAAATATTTGAAACTAATATTTACACTTTTTTGTTACATCTAATTATAGCCACGTTACGTGCGATCGATTTACCGTGCATGCGCAGTAGTGACGCTCCATCGTCAACATCCGCCCGCAAAATTACAAGGAAAACGGCCATCGGTTTTTAGCTGTGTTATCTAGAAATATCTAAAAAGGTAAGAGCATTTATTTCAGTAACATTTATCAGTATGTACATGTTTTTTGTTTACTTCAAACAGGTGTGCACGACTTCCTAAATCCCGCAATGATAAATATATACACATTATCATTAATCATTATTTGTTATCTTTCTCATACTCATGGGTACAACAATTTTGGTTGGCTTTCTTCTGTTATTCAAAAGAATTATATAAATTTACACGACATTCCGTCTCAGGTCAGTGTTAGATTCTAGAAATGACAGGTGAGCGCATTTATTTCAGTGACATCAGTCAGTATGTACATGTTTTTGTTAACTTCAAACAAGTGTGGACCACTTCTTAAATCCCGCAATGATAAATGTATACACATTATCATTAATCATTATCTGTTTTCTTTCTCATACTCATACTCATGAGTACAACAGTTTTGGTTGGCTTTCTTCTGTTTTTCATAAGAATTATATAAATTTACATGACATTCCGTCTCAGGTCAGTGTTAGAATCTAGAAATATCTCAACAGGTGAGCGCATTTATTTCAGTGACATCAGTCATTATGTAAATTTGTTTAACTTCAAATACATGTGTGGACCACTCCTTAAATCCCACAATGATAAATGTATGCACATTATCTGTTGGCTTTCTCATATTGTCTTATATACCGCCTTTTCTTACTATTTGCTGCCCAGTTTCTATGCATTTCCTCTTGAGTCAAAATAGATTGTTATCTCATGCTCATATTTTCATTTATTTCAGCGATACTTCAAGTCACATTTCATTCAGTGCGTGAGGACGAACAAGCTATTGATGATCAGCGCTCACAAAATTTGCAGTTATGCTTCCAAACGACAAGTGATTGGCCCATCTACAAATAAAACACGCAAGAGAAGGGCATTACTTGCTTCAGAAACAGATGAGCAACATGAGGTAAGACTGGAAACCATTCGAGTGCACACTGCTGAAGCCGGTTCATCTCAATCAGACCAGCAACGGAAAGCAAGACTAGAAAACGTTCGAGTGCGTACTGCTGAAGCCAGATCGTCTCAGTCAGACGAGCATCGAGAAGCAAGACTGGAAACCAATAGAGTACTCACTGCTCAAGTCCGTTTATCAGACACAGTCGAGCAACGGAAAGCAAGACTGGAAACCGTTCGAATGCGCACTACTTTATCCACACACTGCATGTTGATTTGAATCTTGGTGCATTCCATTACACCAGCAATTATGATTGGTCTTCATCTACTCTCGCTTATTGGCAAAATGGATAAATTGTGCGTACATTGCAGTGCCTTCAAATTTAAGAATGACACGCCGGGTATGTGCTGCGCTGGTGGAAAAGTTAAATTGCCAGTATTACATTCACCACCCGAACCATTATCATCACCAATTATCATTGGTAGCAGGTGACACAGGCCAGTCGACACATTTCTTGGCAAACATAAGTACATTTGCAAATATGTCAACAAAGGAGGCGATATGGCAGTCTTTGGAGTGGGACATGCAGCTGCATCTATCGATGAAATCAAGCAATATCAGCTGGGGCGCTACATTAGTAGCAATGAAGCGGTATGGTGCATTTTGTCATTTCCAATTCATGAACGACATCCAGCAGTTGTTCATTTGACAGTGCACCTTGACAATGGACAGCCCGTGTACTTCACTACAGAAAATGCACATGCATGAGCATTGTTACCACCGCCAACCACGTTAACTGATTTTTCTCATTGTGTAGAGATATGTTTGCAAAGACACTACTTTACTTTGACCTGCCAACATACTACACGTGGAATGCATCAGCTAAAAAGTTTCAACGTTGCAAGCAAGGTCAAGCGGTTGACGGACATTCTAATTTATATTCTACTGATGTTTTAGGTCGTCTCTACACTGTTCATCCCAAAAATGCAGATTGCTTTTACTTGCGATTACTTTTAATCAACAAACGGGGACCGACATCCTTCCAGGACTTGAGAACAGTTTATGGTAAAGTATGTGCTACTTACTGTGAAGCTTGCCAAGAATTAAATCTTCTTGAAAATGATGCACATTGGGACACTTTACTCGCTGATACTTCGAATACTGCTCGACCACAGCAAATACGCACATTATTTGCAGTAATATTAACAACTTGCTTCCCATCCAATCCAAAAGAGTTTTGGGAAAAATACAAAGACTACATGAGTGAAGACATCCTACATCGCTGGCATGAAACGGAGCAAGATCAGGACCTTCAATTCACACCAAATGTATATAATGAGGCATTGGTTTGCATTGAGGACATATGTTTGGCAATAACTAATAAAGCACTGGTTCAGCTGGGACTGGCTCCACCAAAACGATCTGCAAACAACCTTTTCGATCGTGAGTTGTAACGAGAGACACACTTTGATGTCACCGAATTAGGTACATTTGTTTAAACAAATCTTCCCAAATTGGTTCCAGAACAACGTATAGCATATGACACAATTATGCATGCCGTTACAAGACAACACGGAGGATTGTATTTCATAGATGCACCCGGAGGCACAGGCAAGACCTTTCTCATTTCGCTTATTTTGGCATCCATACGGTCACAAAATAATATTGCACTGGCAATCGCATCTTCTAGATTTACCGCAACTCTTTTGGATGGTGGCCGAACAGCGCATTCAGCACTGAAGTTGCCTTTAAATATGCATATCACTGAGACACCAACATGCATTATCAACAATGATTCTGCAATGGGTAAAGTACAAAGTTTTCCCTAATATCACACAGAATTACATAAATCATCAGTGGCTCAGTGAACGTGCTATCTTAGCAGCTAAAAACAAGGATGTGTATGCCATGAATCTGAACATCCAAAACAAATTACCAGGCAGAGTGACAACGTATAAGTCTATCCATACTGTAATGAGTAAGGATGAAGTTGTCAATTATCCAGCTGAGTTCTTGAATTCACTTGATTTGCCAGGCATGCCACCCCACGTTTTAACCTTGAAAATTGGCGTGCCTATCATTCTTCTCAGAAACATCAATCTGCCACGTCTTTGCGATGGTACCAGGCTTTCAGTGAAAAAGCTGATGCCCAATATCATCGAAGGTACACTTTTAAATGGGAAATTTAAGGGCAAGAATATACTATTGCCACGCATCCTAATGATTCCAACAGACATACCATTTGAATTCAGATGCTTGCAGTTTCCGGTGCGACTCGCCTTTGCAATGACCATAAACAAATCACAGGGACAATCGCTACAAGTGTGTGGACTACATTTGGAACACCCATGCTTTTCACATGGACAGCTATATGTTGCCTGTTCACGCGTCGGAAAACCTTCTGATTTATTTGTGTACGCGCCAGACGGAAGAACAAAGAACATTGATTACCCGA